TTTTGTTGATGCGTTACTGTGAAATTCTGGTTCTATTTTTCAGCATATTTATAAATTTTGGTATACTTTATATATTATTGAGATTAAGCGATAAGGTACGCACGTTTTTTAGCTTGCTAGTTCAATTTTTACTAATTCAAATGTTTTCGATTTATTGCTTACGTCATTTGTTTTTCACTCGCAGCAAGCGCCTGAGCTTCGTGAGTTCTTCCCTGACCAAGGAGACAGCTCAGGACTCCCCACCATCGCTGAGCATGCAGGTGATCATCTTAAACATTGTAAAAGATATATTTTTCTTTTTTTTTTACATGTTATATTCCTTTTCATTTCGTGTTGAGTTTTTCAGCTGGTGCGTAGTGATACTGTGTCTTTTTTGAACCTCTTAAAACACGTTGACTCTGATTGTTTCATCTTGTACTATTACTTCATTTTTTGTACTGTTTTTAAACAGGGTTGCCAGACGGTCATTTATACCGGAAAAATTCCGTGATTTAGTTTTTCTCAATTGCGTTGGCCGGCTAAAATTTATGATAGGGGTACTTCCTAATTAAATTTTAAATACTGCAAAGAGGAAGTAAATGGAATTTATATAGCGGAACCTACAAATAAACTGGTATATATATTGAGTTATCGGCCTTTTTTGTTCTCGGATTTGGCCGATTTTAGGCAACCTGAATTATGTACCACTACGTCCTGGAGAAATACATTTAGACGGCGCGGGTGCCACGCTCAGTGACGGCGACGAGGAAGACGAGTCTCAACGAACACAGGTAGAGATTTTTAGCCCTAAACTACAAGAGATATCCTATCAAAAATAGTTGAATAGTTTAGAAATTTGTCCGCCAATCATTGACGGTTTTCGAGTAAGCCCCTCAACTAGAGACGAACAATCGGCCGCTACTTGTGCTTAGGCCACCACGTGTACTTGTCTGCTACTTGTCCTTTGGCTGCCACTTGTACTTAGGCCACCACATGTACTTGTCCGCTACTTGTCCTTTGGCCGCCACTTGTACTTAGGCCACTACGTGTACATGGCCGCTACTTGTCCTTTGACTGCCACTTGTACTTAGGCCACCACATGTCCTTGTCCACTACTTGTCCTTTGGCTGCCACTTGTACTTAGGCCACCACGTGTACTTGGTAGCTACATGTACTTAGGCATAGATACTTTACGCTTTCAGTAAGTGATGATACGGTGAACAAACTTGACTACCCGTATCGTCTCAGCGAAGGCGATGACAAACAAATGAAAACATCTGCTTTTAATCGTGATGTGAATTTCATATCGGACACTTCTATTTATGTTAGATAACGAATAGAAATTACTGCGCAAAATATTTAACATAATTATTTTTGGTGTTTTATTAGTATTTTTTTCTGTCACAGATGATTCGACTCAGGAGGATACTCAGCCTGGAACTGTAAGTGTTCGGGATTATCATTATCTTGATTTATTTGAATCTTTTTATGAAGTGTCTTGAGTTTTCCATGGAATAATCTGGAACATGGATCATGCGTCTGGCACAGGGCCTCGTATAACTGCTAGAAGGCGTCTTCGAAAACCATGTAACCCTTGAAGTTAATCATAGAAATGTTCCAAAAGTTGCCTAGAGGAACGGGATAATTGAAATCTAAATAGAACTTGCGTAACATCGAAACAAATGAAGTCTTGAAGGAGCATTTTTCGTTTCTTACTTTGTTGTAAAGATGAAGCTGATTTCTGCAGGATTCCGCTGCACCCGCCATGACTTTACAGCCGCTGCAGTGCCAGGAAAATGACGAGTTTTTGTCTGAGTTTGACCGCATGATGAGCGACGCGTTCGTCGAGCATTCGAGGGACGTGAGACCGAACCCCACACCGATGTCCCTACCCCTGCCCACGCGCATCACTCACAAGAAAAACTACGGTAAGCCAAATTTCGGCTACTACGCGTTACGTCTTTCAACCCTTGGTGTTGAATAAGAGTTTGGTTGAGCAACTCAAAACAAAAATTCGGAGTTGATCAGAAGATAAACTAGTGATAGCCAACTTTCATTTATATCACGTACCGTCTGTCAACACTTACTGTTGAATAACAACTGGGTTGAGCAACTCAGAACAAAAATTCAGAGTTGATCAGAACAAAAACTAGTGTTGGCCAACGTTCATCTACAACCCTTGCTCTGACTCGTACCGTTAGTCAAATTCTACCGTCAAAAAACCGTATGGCAGATCAACTCTTATGTTCTGCAATAACTGCAGTGCCAAAATTGTATGGTAATTATGTAACCAATATAAATACCTGGGTTTTACATAACTACACCACCTTGATTAAAAACTGGAGGCACGTGTAATTTTGTCTGGAGGTGAGAAAGAAACTACTTTACTTTCTTTCAGATCAACTTCTTCACGAATCCAAGATGGACACGAACACAGATGAGAACACCTCGGAAAACGAACGTGGGAACAAGACCGTGAAGTTCATCTTGATGTCTCGCAGCAACAAGCAACAAATGACGACCATCGCCATCCCCGAGGACAGCGTCATTGTGGCCAAAATGAGGAGTCGAGAGAAGGCCGAGGCCGAAGAGCGCAGGAACGTGAAGCGCGTCACGCTCGAGATGACGGAACGGCAAGTCGAGGAGGAGGCCGCGCAGGAGCTGCTCATGCAGCAGGTTTGTCGGGCGTTATAGATTTTAGGCACATGAGGATACATTGAATTTAGTGCTATTGGTGGAGCAGTATGACAAGTTTGTGGTCATAAACTTGAGTATTTTGATATTGGCCCCTATTGTTTCGAGCGTTGTTATCGATAGAAGAAGATCAATTATGATTATCCAACGTTATTACTAACGCATTCTCATGATATACATTGCAGCGCAACGCTCCCCTCAACCCTCACCGCGAGCGTCGAGTGAAATACCAACATCCGAAGGGCGCCCCTGACGCGGACCTTATCTTCGGGAGCGGCAAGCACCGTAGCGGAGCTAGCGGTTCCTGATGACAAGTCCACGCCAGACCCAACAGCTCCTGATCTCCGGGCAGCAGATGTTCGATCATCATGTGTTCGTAAGCATCTGATGTTCGATCATCAGGTGTTCGTCAATAACAGATGTTCGCGAGTCCTCAATTGAGCTTGTGAGAACGCCGATGAAGAAAGGTCTCTGCTTATCAAATCAACTAGCAAGTGCACAGGACGAATCCGCAAAAAAAAAGATGCAATGCAACTTGTGGCTTTCTAGGCGTCTATATTTTACGTGATGTATAAATCACGCATTTTGACGGATCTCTAAATGGGGCATAACGCAATTGTGTTCAATCATGAAGTTGTTTGTATCGGAGACTTGATTTCATTTGCTATCGACAATGTGATTCTTTTTTCTGTTGCACCTGTTGAAGGCACATTAATTGCCCGTTTATTGTGAAATAAAAAAAAAATATAAATGATTCTAATTTAGTTGACCATGCGATTATTGGGGTATAATGATTTGGGCATTACATTTATATGATCACGTAACCAGTAAAATGGAAACTTATTGGTTAGATACATATGTGTAAAAGCGGATATTATTCAAGAAAGCAAACCTTGGTGATTTCTTTTCTGAACATAGATTGTGTAAAGAATTCTAAAACTGGATTCTCATTAAATTGCGCATCTGAATCTGAAAATGATACACTGTCTATTTATTGCCCTTGCATACATTATTAAACAAAAGATTAAGCAGACTAGTACGACATGTAGCTGTGGTATATTAGGTAAATGAAATCATGAGGATCATATTAATTTCCCTTAAGTTGACAATTTTAGTAAGTATATTGTCATCAGAAGCGAGATGTTTATAAAGTACTTCAGCCATAAATGTACTGGCGGTAGCTTTCGTTACCAGTTAAAATAGAAGTATGTTCTGTATTCGTATCCAAAGACTTGACCTTTTATTTACTGACGGCAAATTTTGTAACCAGACCTTTGGGTACGAATAGCATTGAGGCACAAAGGTTTGACCGGATAAAGTAGCAGCCAAAATTAAAAACATCAGCAAGATCGAGCTCCTGAACACTACAATCCATTGTGACTTCGAATTCAAACTGTAACAACAGTCCATTGTTAAGTGGTCCGGTCGCACAACAAATAATATTAAAACGATTCATTACGCATGCAACATTTGTACTTCGCGCGATTGAGATCACGGCTGGAATAATATTACTTTACGTAACAATGAAGACAGCACATCGTTAATATTCACCTCAACGAAAAAATCAACTCTTCCTATGAGTGCTTCCATCGTCACAGATAAATGTGTTCCATTGCCGGATCCTACAAGCAGTTGCGTAGAAAAATACGAAACTGGACTAAACCATTTACGAAGTATTAAAAAAAATTCTTACGTGACTAACTTGTTAAAATAACTCATTATGAAAGTTGTTACGGTAGGCACTTGGTAGGTCCGCTTGAGTATTTTTATCAATCGATGTGCATTTCTGCCTGAGGTGCATAAATGGACGAGCTGCTTTGCGTCATCGAAGCACCGCTCCGATGCTCGCATCGCGCCTCATCTCGTGACTGCAGAACAAACACTCGGTATTAATACTTTCAAGCAGGTGCTAGTTGTATTTAACGGTATGATCTTAATTTATTACCTTCTCAGTTAATAGCTAAAGTTTGGACACTAACCACAGTTGGAAATCAACAATTAAAGAAAAGTAATTGCAGTTGTATCTTTGAAAGCCGTGCAACAATACGTAACTTAATAAATTCAAGTAAAATTTTCCTTAAATCAAAAGCATTACTGAGAATAATGCATTTTAATTACAGAAAAGAAAAGAAAACCCACAAAAATAAACTGGTGTAAAAATAGACGAGTAATATAAGTCGTGTTTGTACATTGTTTTCCTTCTCATAACAAATTTTCTATTAGTGTTGCATGTTTGAACTTCATTTATTATTTGTCCAAACGTAATGTGGTTGAGTGGTAAAGTCGCGGATTCAGGCTGCTAAGATTTCGAATATCAGTTATTCTGCGATAGTGAATGTAGCGACGGTTACTAACTGGCCGTACAATTTCTTGAGTCATAAAGTGAACGATGAAAAATAACGCATATTCGACGAACCTGGTCTTGTGCAGTTTTGTTCTTGTGCTGGCGGAAGAAATCCACGATGAGGATACGGAAGAACAGAATTATATTCATCAACACAATGATTGCCATAGCTGCACAAGGAAAAAAGAGTTGCAAAATCAAGATTAATAAACAGGGAATTATTCATCATGCTGTATCAAAGTTCATGTTTTCTCATGACACTGGCCGGAACAATGCTCTGTACACCTCGATTTACACTTCAAAATGACACTTTTTCAAGACTATAATAATATATAATCGTGTTCTCAGCGTTAAACATGTAAATCGGGCCCGCAACTCAGTGCTCCAATCTTGCTATACTCTACCACCCCGCCACCTTGACTATTTGACCAAGAACTGTTACAGGAAACTGGGATCGAACCACCAACTCACTACCCCAATCCTTGTACTCTGAACTGTAACCACTGGGCCAATAACCAATAATTATCACAATGGCCACTCCAATTCTTTGAGCTTTACAATTTTAAAATCCTCCAGACCATCCAGAACAATTGAAAGCATCTCACCAATAGAGCCGAGAGTGTAGACAGCCAGCGGGACCATGTCGCTATGCAGCACAAGCCACCTCGTCATCCAACCGAGCACAGCAATGCGGAACACAAGGAAGGTGGCGACGTTGAAGAGAGCGGTGAGTCTGTACTGTGAGCTACACCTGCTCATGCCCTCCACTACGAGTAGCTGGCGGTAGTGAAGGAAGATGCTGTTCACCTCAACCAAGAGTGCGACTATTGCGTACCTGTTCACAAGGGGAGAGATAAACCTTTATAGAAAAGTGATCGAGGAGTATCTGGTAGAGGGCAAAGAGATTAGTTATACATTTTTTTCAGGCCATTGATTACTTCATATGTATAGCAAGCGATCGAGGAGTGTCTGGTAGAAGGTAGAGAAATAAAGTATATAACAATAGATCGAGAAGTGTCTGGTATAGGGCCACGAGATTAGTTATATAACAAGCGCTCGAGGAGTGTCTAGTAGAAGGTAAAGAGATAAATTATATAACAAGTGATCGAGGAGTGTCTGGTATAGGGCCACGAAATATTTTATATAGCAAATGATAGTGGAGGAATTAACGACATTTTGAATTGAAAACCTGGTCCTATCAAATACTAAATGGTGTACAATTTACATCTTAAAATCAGCGAAAAATTTGTGCACCTAAACGCTACACTTCTCTCTCCATTTAGAATCATTCATTTCTGTATAGCTATCCAAGTAAAAGGCTGTTACTGATGTGATACCTAACGAAATTTTGGATTTAGAAGATCTCACCATGCATCTCATTTCTCATGCCATTACTTTAGAGTTGAGTGGAAAACATCTTAATTTTTCGATTTAATTTTCGAATTCCTTTTATACGAATACGTACATCGCCAATGACCTTCGTTTCTAAAGTCCTGGTAACGGGAGTTACCATCAGTAGCCAAAAAGTATATAAAACCACGGAAGTCTACGGATAAATAAACCATCTTCAATGCTTTTAGCATCGCAAGGCTTAAAATCTTGAGTTACCGTCAGTAGACAATGGCTGAACCCCTTGTTTACGGATATATTAATCATCCTTACTATTGTTCCTAACTTGAGGCCTGGAAACGATAATTGGGATCATTAGGTAAAATATTAAACATGTGCCAGGAACACCATCTCACCCCACATTGCGTTTTGTGATGACAATGGCTTAAGCCCTTGTTTACGGATATATTAATCATCATTCTTATTGTTCATACCTAAAGGCCTGGAAACGATAATTGAGATCATTAGATAAAATATTAAATACGTGCCAGCTAGGAACACCATCTCACCCCACATAGCTTTCTGTTATGACAATGGCTTAAGCCTTTGTTTACGGATATATTAATCATCATTACTGTTCCTACATAAAGGCCTAGAAACGATAATTGAGATCATTAGATAAAATATTAAACTTGTGCCAGGAACACCATCTCACCCCACATAGCTTTCTGNCGAGTTGTTACTCTCGAGAAACTGGAGCTTTGGTCGAGGCAAACCCGTAACACCTTCAGCATTTTTTAACGTGTAACGAACTAAGTACCACCTAACATTTTAAGATATAAAAATCTCAGTAATGTTGTAACATGTATAACAGCGTAATAAGTATTGCAAAACGCAACTGCTTAAGTAAATAAAATAGTCATTAGACAATGAAAAGAATCTCAACACGCACTCTTCGACACGAAAATCTCAACACTCGTCAAAATTCTATATGCCTGATGTGCAAATATCATAAGGCTGTCACACTGCAATTATTGATCTCATAATTGTTTGAATGTGTTAAGAATTTTGAGCAGTTCATAGTCGAATTACGTTCTAAGTTTAGAGCAGGGCAAACCATATTGGAATATCACTCGAACACAATTACGCGAATGAACAAAAATAAAAATTAGTGATACACGGCACTGTTCTCAATAAACGCACGCTATTCTGACTCACCTACGGAAAACGACACCAGCCCCAGACCGCCTTTTGTGTGGCTGCTGATGAGGTCCTCCGCCATGGCAGGATGCTCGTAGAAACTGAAAATTGTAACTTGAAATAGTTACTGTGACAAAACTGCTGCTCTTGTTAAAAAGTCATGATGAAAATGTAGCTTGATGCCTTCATGCGCAACCTCAAGCTATGGCCGATTGTAAATTTTAATATTTCTTCTACTCTAACGTTGTTCAGTATCTATAAAATCCAATTAAAGCTAAAAATATTGAACATTAAATACGGTGAAAGAAATGATGACGTAATGGATCAAAATAGCTTGATGCCTTCATGCGCAACCTCAAGCTATGGCCGATTGTAAATTTTAATATTTGTTCTAGGTACTCTAACGTTGTTCAGTATCTATAAAATCCAATTAAAGCTAAAAATATTGAACATTAAATACGGTGAAAGAAATGATGACGTAATGGATCAAAACTGGAGCTTTAAATGCCTATGTCGAAAATGAGCAGATTATAATATGAGAAAGCCGATTAAAATTTCCTGTAGAAACATCCAGTGTTTTGGAAACGATTTAGAGTTCAAGACGTAAAATTAATATGCAGAAAAACAACAATTACAACAACAATTATATTTACAAAACGAAAAATCAATCCCGAAATTACTGTAAATTCTCGATTACTTCTAAATTAATGCACAAAAATTACACAGAAAATATGTGCAAGAGAAAAGAAATAGCGCGGTGGCTTAAACCAGGTGTATAGCCACGCAAATGGAAGGCACCTCTGTCGATAAGATCAAGTCGAAATAAGAGAGCGGCAGAAGGGCGGGGGCCTAGGATCAATATTGCTCTTACGTTCAGCTCTGAGCTGGTGACGTTCATGCGATCAAACAACTTTAAAGTTTCTAAATGCGTAAAAGAGATATTTCAAGGCAGCTGTTCGAGATTCATCATTGTTAAGTGAATTAATGTGAACTACGCAAGAAGTACCTGCCGTTAGAACACTCGTAATTAATCTGTAGCTTGAAAAGGAAATAAAATTCATACAGGAACAGTTTATCAATGTGGTCAGCTATTTAACCGAAAATAATTCTAGCAACGAAGTCACTCTCATTTATAGCAGCATGGGCGCGATGAAGAAGCTATATGACAACCTATACGCTGCAGTGATCCGAGTTCTCCAGGAGCGCAATATATAAGAAGAAGCAACAGGTATACCGAGCCGCGCAAGGCGGCAAGGAGAGCTGGGCAGGATAACAAAGGAATTTACCAGGAGTAAACAGTCACCACCAAGAAGGAACAAAGCTGATTGTTAATTAATTGACATCGTTACTTTAATAGGATAGTAATTTAATCTTAGATCGAGGAGCTCCGCTTGTCTTTCATCGCATCTTAGAACAAAACAGATCGATGATGCTTCAATCTATCAAAGGTAATAAAGACGTACTTAGAAGACCAAAGTATAAACCTATATAAATATAATAGATCATATAGGAACTTTAATGTACAGGTTTGCAATTTTGCATTTGTTTCGATGTTATAAGAAGCAACTCTGCAGGAAATTCATACAAAATCACAAAACTTGAGCAAATAAACAATAAAAATTGAAGACCTTGAACACAAATGGACTAGCAATACAACTTACGCTGTACAATACTGATAGTTCTCGAAATTCGATGCACGTTCTAACATACATTTAGAGTTGAATTTGATTTGATTCAATTCGTGATTAGCTCGTTGCAGTTCTTTGAGAAAGCCAATAGAAGCGTCAGGTTAACCTTTTGCCCTTTTTCTCATTTGCGATTGTCATGCGTAGAGTGAATGGAAAATTGAAGCAGTCAATGGATTTTCTGTTACATGTTAACACTGGATTAACCTGCCAGTACATATCATCAGTATATAGACAGATAGTACATGTTGTTGCAGCCAACTGTATAGAGGATATACCAGCGCGCTTTCGTAATACCTATAGCGTGTATTCTTCGCCCCTCATTGAGTTTGCCGGCACCATGCCGCCCGTCGTGAACTGACAGTGAGTAATTTACGACGTCTCTTTCCCCTCATACCTTCCACAACGTCTCCATTTGAGCAGCTAGTATGCGGGATTTTCGCTCCGCGTATCAGCAGGCTCGATCATAACTATTTTTTGAGAAATAATATTTACAACAAGGAGGCTGATCAAGGAATGCCGAGTATACCATTCAATGGAGAATAAAAAATACAACCCGTTTACATCTCGTAAAAAACTATAAAAGTCGCAGACTTGATGAACAATAATATTCAAAGTTTCTTGAAATTTCCTCTCATTAAAACTCTTTTAATATAAAGTTTACATATTTTTGTTCCTGTCCACCGTTTATAAATAAATAGCTGGGTAAGAATGGAAAAATCCATATCGCCATCTCATTTACGAGTGGAGTAAAGTCTATTCTAATTTGTGAAGAAACGCAGGGAAGAGCCGAGCCTGTTCGAAGCCTCGCGGTTCTCAATCAGGGCCTTAAGTAACATTTTTTATCTCGAGCAACGGCGGGCAAAGTTGCTAAACAAGAAATAATCGTCAGTTCCGGAACACTGTATTCTTCAGAAAACTGAGAATAATATAATAGTAACTGAATGTGCACGAAGAAATGAAAATTCACGGATAAATGAGTAAAAAGTTGCGCCTATTCATACAGTGTGCGTCACGTATATATACCTATATAAAAATTAGAAAATGCTAGACAAAATATGGTAATTGCTATATGCAAAAACACATGCAAAAATAAACACACGTGCATATACAGTAATAGGCGGTGGCGGGAGGCCATAATCAAAATGTCAAATATGGGGATAGTTTTTCTTCGCATTCTGACGACATATGACGTCATTGCAATGAATACACTGTGGTGGGTATACCATACCGCATTCGAACACTCAATTTTACTCATGCGTATATCAATTGATTGATCTTAAGCGAAATTGTTTAAGTTTCAGACCACTTCACACCACAGACGTCGCATCAGATTCCTTTATATATTATAATGTTTTTAATTTACTTCCCTTATATGTTAGAGCATTTAGCATCATGACTTGCAATTGACGGCATGTGAACGTTTCTGTTAGCGGTACCGTCTACCCCCACCGACTGGTTTCCAATTTTCCAGCGATTGCATGTTCCGTAAATGGCGTGAGCAAATAGGAACTCGTAAAAATATACGTCAGCGTACAGCACTACAGCTAAACGAAATTTTGTTCAAATCTCACTAGAAAGTAATTGATACGGTACTCGTTAACTTAACAGGACAGCTTTGTGGAAAATAAATAATGCACCGTCACCTGCCTAATTGCCTGAAAGGATTTAAATGAACCATTTGAATAATTACAATATAAAGATATAGAATCAGGGCATAACATTGCAGTGCCTACCTATTTAAGAGAGATAGAATGTGTAGGTAGCAACATTGATAAGTCGGTCAAGGCCTCAGATATATTAATTAGGTACATCAGACATATAGAGACGCTGCTTCAGATAGGTATATATATAACATTAGTTGAATATTTATATGCGTTCTGTGTATTATATCTCTATCCAAATGGCTTATTGACAACTGTAAAATTCTAACTAGGCCTAATTAATTTTAGATGCAATCGCAAAATTATATACAATAAATATCAAATACAATCAGTGAGCTTATTGAAGGTTGAACACGAAAACTTTTCTGGTCTTATACGTTAGGACGTACGTGCGAAGATCTCAATTAATATCAAGTCATGCCTCTCTAGATGCTACCATCGATAACGATAATACGATAGCTTCCAAGGACGTGATGTTCATAAATTATAAATTAATACTTTATGTATCATCATGACATCTGTTTATTGTAAACTGTATAATCCCGGTATATAAGGTGTGAGAGAAGGACGATGTTCAGAATCTATTACGATACTTCGTGCTAACTTGAGGCTGTGTTTTGTACCGCTTTCGATGCTTCGGGCTTTCAATACAAGAATTGATGAACCTTTTTTTGATACTTTGTAAACTTAGTGTAATAATGTCCCTTTTGTGAATGGCACTTTACTTTATCTTTAGGGATTCTTCCAGGAAATGAAAAAACACCATAATATACACTGAACGCTGATACAAGTTGAAGCGACGCTCTAATGGACAATAGACTCGAATTTTAACGCATGTCAGTACACCGCCTTATACCAATTACAAGGTGCGGTGGTATGAAGGTAAGAAACCGCAATACACATCATAAAAACGTAGAGATAACACCCCGATGTATAGATACTAGGTTTATCTCTGTGGCTACAGGCGGTAAATTCTGGTACCAGGCTATTAGAAAAGAATATCGTTTAGGACAGTTACTGTGACCGAAGAAAATAGATTATATTTTTCTGGACTAACCGCACGCATCGTTATAAGACTTTTTGTTACGGATATCTTTGACAAAAGCCATATCCGTAGACCAAACGTTATACCTTTGTGTACTAACGGTAACTCTCGATACCAGGTCTTTAGATACAGATAGCATTAACGAAGATTAATGTATCTGCAGGCAAAGTATCAACGTTACAGGCTCGAGCTGTACTGGATCAATGAATGGCAGCTACGTGATATAATCAGGCTCGTGAAAATCACTGAGAACGCAGTCGGATGTGATGTGTAGGCCACAAGGTCGATGTGGGGGCGAATGCATGACAAAGACAGCATAAGAGACTTTCGCGCTCCACGTGCGTGGCAAGCTTTGTTGAGCGCAAGTGGTTCAGGGCAAATTAAAAATGTTGAGCGCAAGTGGTTCAGGGCAAATTAAAAATGTTGAGCGCAAGTGGTTCAGGGCAAATTAAAAATGAAGAGATGCAGCACGGAGCACTTCCTAACACCACAAGCGTGACACGCTTGTTGTCATGCTTATGAGATACTGGATGAATTGAAATATTTTGAAATTATATACATTATTGCCTGTTATAACTATCAGATACTAAATTGATTAGTCCTATCTAATAGATAAATTTTAAAATATTGCCAGTAAAGGTAATGAAGTTTAACTTTACCTTTTTTCAATAAAAAATAAAAACATTACACATATAATTTTTTTTAAA